AATCAAAGATCTCTGATATCTCTGCATCGTCGAGATAAGAAATAATTTTATCAGCGCTCTTTTCAGCGAAACAAATAATCACCATTTTATTGGTGCCACTGAGATATTTAGCAATAAATATTGCGGTCTTTCCGATTGCGTGTTAATTCTCCGATAATCTGAACTCCAATGACTCAGTACTCTTATCTCTCTCTCTCTCGTGTTTTCACTTTACGTCTACGTCGTCTTGTCAGATTTCAATTTCATTGCACCCGGCGGTTAGGAACAAAATGCTTTCTGCAGAATGCTCAAGGCGGAATCCACTTTCTTTACTGTGAGGAGCAATAGGAAGTTTCGAATATTCATCCGACAGAAAATCTTACGGAGTCACGCTATCGTAAGCGGAAAATCAGTATCAGCGTTTCAGGATTTCTTCAGCGTGCGGCACTAACGAGAATATACGTTCTGGTTGCATGTTGCTCTGTGATTTGTTCGAACATCTAGCTTGTACTATAGTAAAATGAATCCGACGATATATCAAAGATTCCATGTGATCACGATTCAAAGATTCCGTGTGATCATATTACTAATAATCATCACGAGAGATGTTTTTTTTCAAGCGGACAGAACGATTTTTGCTAAAGTATATATCTAAAAATTTAGCTATACCCAAATGTAGATTTGACAATAATTTAATATATTGAACCGTCGGAATAATTGTGGACACTCGAGCTAGTTGCTAAAATGTTAAACTCAAATATGATGAGCGATGCTGCGAAAAATTTCAATTTCTCGCAGCATTGTTTATCATATTTGAATTTGCCACATAATTATTTTGACTCAATGAAAATTTTTTCAAACCTGTATTTATATATGTAGCTAAAATTTTCGATACTTCAGTAAAATCGTTCTCTCTACGTGAACATAATATCGAGTTCGACCTTTCAAACTTTGCAATCTTGACGAAGGAATAATGCGCAGATACGCGTGCTGAAGTGAAGAGAGTAGAGTCGTGTAAGATACGTTTCTTGCGAAGATTGTAGAACCGTGATTGAAAAAATTATGTGAAATCTCGTTGATCTGTATGTAATAATCGATGACGAGCGGTGACGAGCTAGGAAGTAATTACGTTTTTATCAGAGCAATCGAATGTGCCGGATGTCTTCGTAAATTTTATTCAATCATCCCAAACGGCCTTATTATGCATTCTACGCGTGTATCTCCTTCTCTCGTTTACATAATATCTTACCGACTAAAACTACGTGTATGCAAAAAGTTGTTTAATGCGCCGCGAAGATAGACTTCGTTGCACAAGGGCATTAAATCATCGGGAATGAAAGGACGGCTGTCAATGGAACGTGAAACTGATTAGATACTAAACACGTTTTAAAGCGTGATTACGCGTTTCGAAACGATGCGCCAAATGCCAGAACAATTCTGCGCACTCCAGCGCGCTCCCCGATATTTTCAAATGCGTTCTCCAAAAATTTGCAGACTTAACACTCTGTAACTTTCATCTTTTTGATATTTTGTAATTTAATCAGAAATAAATATACATTTTGAGGCGAATTATTCTCATCTTGAAGTAGGAAAAAAGAAATTCTCCTTTTTCTCGTTGTTATATCCGTGACTCATCTCGATGTTGTCGATATCACAGTAAGCTAATTTACTGCTCATTTTCTCTCTCGATTAAAATATATGACGATCGTCAATCTTTAAGTCGCAACCGAGCGAAATAATTACGCCGTTCCATCTTGACCTTGTAATCTTTCGTTATCAAAGTTGTACAGGAAACAGTACTTTTTCTATGGAAGTGCACAGAATTCGTTAAAATAATTAAACAATCGCAAGAGATCACAGTCTGACACGTTGGAATCTGATTATGCAATTGATCAAGTGTTTAGAAACGTCTTTGTCAGTAAACGGGTTCGCCGACAGTTGCGTAAGCTGCTAACATACAATGGCACCGAGACGAAGACCGACAAGCTTCTATCTACTATTTAGAACATTTCTTAAATTATAAACTACTAATGTGGCTATTACAGTTAACTATTATGTAAATTAGGTATATTTCAACTGCATTCGTAGGCGTTTACTTTCTACTTCGTTTAAATATTACGCAACGTTCCACAGATGTTATGTCCATGGTAAATGATCTTAGTAATAATTACATCGCTGTAGAAATATAATTTTTATCATTTTATAACTAAAGCGACAAATGAATCGTGTAACACGATAATCAGAGATCTCAATGCGAGCAGGGAAGCTTAGCCTTCTGAACAAAAGCGAGAGAGAGAGAGAGAGAGAGAGAGAGAGAAAGAGAGAGAGAGAGAGAGAAGAGAACGAAAGTAACGGAAAGGTGGTTTCTCCGTTGCAATCATGAACGGAAACAGTGCAATCGATTTACAGTCCGTCGATAGCCAAGCCCATTGCAAAATAGGAGGATTGGGATATAAAACGTAGATATAAGAAACAGAAATCGACCACATGCAGGACGTGCGCTCGCATATTTCAATGTTCTCTCTTTTCTCTTATTTATGCGTCTATCCTGTATATCGGTATACATCGTGTTGTGTTACACTTTAATATCTTTAATGCATCGCTGAGAGGATGGCAATTGTAAAAGTATTGAATAAAAAGCCAACATTCGTTTTTCATAGTCAGGAAGGTCCCGCAGTGTCATACTTTATATTGCATAACAAATGTAAAATTTCATCGTCAGATACATAAGAAAGACACGTTGTCGGTTTTTTTTTTCTTTTTTTTCGTAAAAATGACTCGGCCATCCTAAAAAATGATTACAAAGATTTTGCACGACCAGAGGAATTTGCGATTTTTCATGACGAATATCTACGCTATTTTTATCTCTAAATTGCACTTTCATAGACCTCTATATTTTTACGATTGAAAAAAAAACTGTACGACTTGCTTCTACGGGACGATACATATAATAATTGTATAATAGGTTTCATAAAATTGTCATTGTTCCATTGTTAATATTCTGTTGTCATTGTTCCACTGTCGGCCATCGTAAAAGAAGGGATAAGAACCGTTGACGTTAACTGAATCATCCTACAGAACGCAACGCGAGTTATACGTCGCTTTCCGAGCAGCATCTTGCAATTAGATCTAATTGTTGATACCGCTCGGCGGATGTGCAATGAGCAAGAGCCGATGGCTCGTCCTATAAGAACCGCGGCCGCAAACCTACGTCGCCACCGTTCGGATGATGCGCGGAGTGCGAGGAACGAGTTCCATTAGAAGTCCCATGCAAAAAGTCCTCTTTCTCAGAAAGATCTCACGGATCTCATCCATTGCACACGCATCGGACGGTATTGGCGATCGAATCCATACCGTTCTGTCTTTGGCGGGGTGGTTTGTCGAAAAAAAAAAAAAAAAAAAGGAAAAAAAGAAAACGCGCTTGGACGCGCATCGCGCGGCGTTAATTGTTCGGCGACGGTGTCTAAATACGACGTGACGTATGACGCAACGACATCATGTTGCGCGTCCAAGCACGAGCGTAACCGCGCGGCGCGGTCGAGCGCACCACTTCCGTATGGCGTAGGGCGCGAGCGCGGAAACTCCCGTAGGTACGGAGACACGTAATCCCGAAGGGCTGTCAAAATTCTGCGCGTGTCGGAAATGATGTCAAGGACCAGGTCGAGGCGTACGGGCGGACGGACGGAAGGGGCACGAGCGCGTCCGCTTGGCCCTGGACGCCAAACGTCGCTTATTTATTTTTACTCACTGTTTGCGCGCCGCCCTTCGGACCTCACGGGCCGCCGCTCCGCGTTCGCCGTGGTCGGTGCTCGGTACTGTGCACCGCGATGCGCCGGAAGTAGTCGCACACGCTCCTGCGGGTTATCTCCTTCGCATGCGATCTATGGAGCCGTACAGGCGAGAGCCGAGATAGCTGTCCCGCAGGTCGCGTCACGTCACGACTTCACGTCGGCGTCGCGCGGACTCGTCGTCGTTTTTTCGAAACGGGGAACGAGTGGCGTCGCGCGCGAACGCGCTGTTCGCTATCCAGCGCCGAACTGGCTCCTTTGTTTAGTAAACAGAAACAGCTGAGCGGCCGACGGTGGAGGTGGAGGCGGCGGCGACAGTGGCGATGGCGGCGGAGGTGGCGGAGGCGGTGGGACATTCGCGCTCGCCCGTACCGTACATTATCGACCGCATCGCGCCTGCGCGATACCCGCGATCCTGGTCACGTGGTCTCCCACTGGCTGGAGAACGCAGCGCTTCCGCCGACGATCCGCGCTCGCGAATAATCGCCTTTAGATTCGCTCGGATTTTCTCTCTCCGAGATG